TGTGTGTGTGTGTGTGTGTGTGTGTGTGTGTGTGTGTGTGTGTGTGTGTGTCTGTGTGTGTGTGTGTGTGTGTGTGTGTGTGTGTGTGTGTGTGTGTGTGTGTGTGTGTGTGTGCGCGCGCGTGTGTATGTGTGTGTGTGTGTAACACTCACGTACTCATCTCAGTGTGATTGACGACTCGAATGAACACATGCTCACCGTATGAGACTGGCAGAAGAAATCGAAAATCGCAGAGATTAAGGTACGTTCACCACTTCCTCATCCTCTCTTATCATCTCCCTTCCTTTGTTCCTTTCTTTTCCCATATCATTCCTCTCATCTTATTTTCTTCCTATCCTTTCTTTTACATTTCTTATCTCTTTTCAGTTTGCTGCCGTCTTGTTCTGTCATGTTGTTTTGCCACGTCTGCTCCATTTCAACCCGTTTTCAGTTTTGCTTTGTCTAATTTATTGTGTAATGGGTTTTTTATAGACCACCAATGAAGTGGTCTTGGCAGTGGAGTTTCACCCGACTGATGCCAACACCATTGTCACTTGTGGGAAATCTCATATCTTCTTCTGGACCTGGAGCGGCTCTTCGCTCGCCCGTAAACAAGGCATCTTTGGTGTAAGAGCACACAGTTTAATGCTGTTTATTTCAAGATCTGTTGAAATTCTCGATTCTGATTGGCTGGAAGGTGGGCAATCAATGCAATGGTCATTTAAGTCCGTTTTGATATTATTTTGATCGTATTTTGAGCTTCAGCAAGCAAGTGTCGAGTTCATTAAACTTCCAATTCACATTTTTTTTTATCTTGCGTTTCTGTGACAGAAATACGAGAAGCCTAAGTTTGTGCAATGTTTGGCCTTCCTCAATAATGGAGACATCCTGACCGGGGATTCAGGAGGAATCATGCTGATATGGACCCGCAGCACTGCTGAACCAGCACCAGGCAAAGGCCCCAAAGGTACACACACACATTGAGTTTTCATAAGGGACTTCCCATAGACATGATGCTGTTTATTCTATGCAGAGTGTATATTCTGTCTTCTTCCCTCAACCTTAACCCTATACCAAACTTCACAGGAAACAATCTGCACTTTTACATTGTCAAAATACTTCATTCTGTGGGATTTACGAGCCCTTTTCCTCATGGAAGGTCAAAAATGACTGGTGTTACCATACTTGAGAGGACATTTGATCCCCACACGGTCACACTATAGTTAATGAGCACCAGGGTCACACGCACAAGTTTGTTTATGAGAATTGTGGGGACACTCTATAGATTTTTATTGTTTATATACTGTATAAACTATATCGTCTATCTCCCAACAATGAGTGCAATTGCTTGTATTCAATACTTTATTATTATTATTATAATTTTCCATATCTGCAATGCCAGTATTTTGGCATTTTTAGCAGTCCACTTAGAATCCAACTTGGAAATCAATGTTTTCTTAATTGGTGTTGATTGTTTGGAAATTCAAATGGCGTTAACATGCCTGTGTTTTAATTTCTGTAATAAATATGGCTGTCAAGCCAGGATCTTGACGGTTTATTGTGGGTATGTTGTTTACATGAAGAAATTTGTGTTACAACTTAAACAAAAATTCTAATAAACAATAATATTTTGAATTTAAATAGTTTTTGTCTTGCGTTTACATTAATTTTACATTTGAATAGCCAAAATTACAAGTTTCAGTATTTTAAATGTGATTAATTGCGATTCATTTTCGAAAAAAGGTGAATTAATTAGTTTTTTTTGACAGCACTAATTACGATACTCGAAGGTCCCCACAGTGTAGTGAATTCCAGGACCACACACACAGATTTTATGCATTTTGTCAAGAACTAAGCTGAAGGAAAATAAATGTATGTTAAAATTCTCCTCTAAGCAAATGCATTTCCGTTACATAAAGCCCTGTAAACTCACAATTCTTAGAAATAAGGTCAGAATTTTAAGAAAGTCACAATTTTATGTAATATAAAATCAGAATTCAGAAAAATAAAGCCACAATTGAGTGAGATAAAGTCAAAGTTCTGAGAAAAAAAAAGCACAATTGCATGTTGTAAAGTCGGAATCTTGACTTCATATCTCACTATTTTGAAAATAAATTCGCAATTGTGTGAAATAAACCTGCAATTGCAAGGAAAAAGGTCAGAATTTGATTTGTTAACATTCTCCTTATTTTTATTCAGTCATCACCTGCATTGCTGTTCATTTTTATTTGAAAATAACCTTTTAAAAACAAAATACTGTCAAAAAACTTAATTCTGCATGATTCATGAGCCATTTTCAAAAAAGAAATAAATAAAAAATACAATGTAGTGAATACCAGCACCACACACACAGATTTTTAGCAGTTGTTCAGGGACTAAGCTGAAGGAAAATGAATGAATGTATGTTAGAATTCTCCTCTAAGCAAATGCATTTCCTTTACATAAAGCCCTGTAAACTCACAATTCTTAGAAATAAGGTCAGAATTTTGAGAAAGTCACAATTTAGGAGATATTCAATCAGAATTCAGAGAAAAAAAAGCCACAATTGAGTGAGATAAAGTCAAAGTTCAGAGATAAAAATCACAATTGCACGTCAGAATCTTGACCTTATACCTCACAATTTTGAAATCAATTTGCAATCGTGTGAAATAAACCTGCAATTGCAAGAATAAAAAGTCAGAATTTGATTTGTTACCATTGTTTTTAATCATCACCTGCATTTCCTCAGATAAAGCACTGTGGCGTTGACTGATCATGCTGATCTGCTCTGCTCTGCTGAATGTGCTCAAACCAAAACTAATCAAAATCTGCTCAAAGTAAAGACAGGAGAATAAAGAAACTTGACTAGCTATGTTTGATAAAACTATTTATTTTCTTGCTTTCTTCTAAAAGAAAGTTAGAAAAAGAATGAGTTTAAATCAAGATTTTGCACAGGCCCCGAAAGGAAATCTTTGTTTATTTCTCATTTCATCACCATGAACATGCCACCAAAAAGCACAGTTAACAGTTGCCATTCTGTTAGGAATAGCGTTTCGCGTCAGTAGAGAAATACACGGGGGTGACATTTACTACACTACGGTAAAGGTAACAAATAAAAGAGCTGAACTTCACATCTGACCTGCTGCAGCACATGTGTGCCCTCATGAGTTTGTGTAATTCAGCTAAAGTCACTTTGCCATGAGGAATATAATCTACATCTGTAGGCCTACTGTTTTCCTCGGTAATATGTTATATGCTATTCTTCTTTAAATAAATAAATAAGGGCGATGCAGTGGCGCAGTAGGTAGTGCTGTCGCCTCACAGCAAGAAGGTCGCTGGTTTAAGCCTCGGCTGGGTCAATTGGCATTTCTGTGTGGAGTTTGCATGTTCTCCCTGCGTTCCCGTGGGTTTCTTCCGGGTTCTTCGGTTTCCCCCACAGTCCAAAGACATGCGGTACAGGTGAATTGGGTGTGTGTGGATGTTTCCCATTGATGGGTTGCGGCTGGAAGGGCATCCGCTGCGTAAAAATGTGCTGGATAAGTTGGCGGTTCATTCCACTGTGACGACTCCAGATTAATAAAAGGGACTAAGCAGAAAAGAAAATGAATGAAAAAATAAATAAATCAATAAATAAATAAATCAATAAATCAATTAATCAATCAATAAATCAATAAATCAATAAATATATAAATAAATCAATAAATCAATAAATAAATAAATATATAAATAAATCAATAAATCAATAAATAAATAAATAAATACATAAATACATAAATAAATAAATAAATAAATTGTAATTAAGTAGTTAATTAATAAAAATGTCTAGAACCCATGAAGGAGATCCACAGCTCACGGTGTGTATGTGTTTGTGTGTGTGTGTGTGTGTGTGTGTGTGTGTGTGTGTGTGTGTGTGTGTGTGTGTGTGTGTGTGTGAGAGAGACTGCAACTGTTCGCACACACTCACACACACTGCTGTCTGTGTGCACAAGTTGGCAGATTATTTTCTCAGTGTTGATCCTGGAGTTGTAATGGTTTTCGCTGGCATGCTGTGGAACTGGATTGGCGGCACCACAGGCTGAAACGGCGCCAGATCCTGATCATTTATCACTCCTTTATTTACCCGTGCGAATGTGTTCAGGATAGTCCTGTGGCACAGCGCCTCCTGCTGGACTTAAATAGCTCACTGCGCTCAGTGGAGAGATCCTAACGAGCAGAGGTTACAGTACATTGAGATTAAATACGTTTATTAATCTGTGGGTACATACTGTGTAGACTATAAACTAGACATCTCACAGATTTGGGGTTTTCTGGAGTGTCACTTTGAGCTGAATGCTAGCATCTTGAAAAATATCTAGTCAGATATTATGTGCTGTCATCATGGCAAAGGGAAAAGAAATCAGTTATTAGAAATGAGTTGTTGAAACTATTATGATTAGAAATGTGTTGAAAAAATTATTCTCTATTATTACTACTATTAGTATTAATAGCGCTTCACTTTTTCCACATTTGTTTATGCTACAGCCTTATTCCAAAATGGATTAAATTAATTTAGTTCCTTAAAATTCTCCACACAATCCCCCATAATGACAATGTGGAAAAAGAGTTTCTGAAATTGATGCAAATTTATTAAAAGTGAAAAAGCTGAAGAATCCGATGTACATCAGTATTCACAGCCTTTGCTCAACACTCTGTTGATGCACCTTTGGCAGTGATTACAGCCTCAAGTCTTTCTGAATGTGATGCCACAAGCATGGCACACCTGTCTTTTTGCCCATTCCTCTTGGCAGTACCTCTCAAGCTCTATTAGGTTGGATGGGAAGCGACGGTGTACAACAGATCTCTCCAGAGATGTTCAATAGGATTTAGATCTGGGCTCTGGCTGGGCCACTCAAGGACATTCACGAAGTTGTTGTGAAGCCGCTCCATTGATATATTGGCGGTGTGCTGTGGGTCATTGTCCTGCTGGAAGATGAACCGTCGCCCCAGTCTGAGGTCAAGAGCACTCTTGTGCAGGTCTTCACTCAGGATGTCTCTGTGCATTGCTGCATTCATCTTTCCCTCTATCCTGACTAGTCTTCCATGAAAAACATCCCCACAGCATGATGCTGCCACCACCATGCTTCACTGTAGGGATGCTATTAGCCTGGTGATGAGCGCTGCCTGCTTTTCTCCTAACGTAATGTCTGGCATTCACTCCAAATCACATCAGACCAGAGAATTTAGTTTCTTATGGTCTGAGAGTCCCTCAGATGCCTTTTGGCAAATTTCAGGCGGGAAGTGGCTTCCGTCTCCCTGACTAAGGCCCTTTTCCCCCGATCACTCAGCTTAGGTGGCCGGCCAGCTATAGTCCTGGTGGTTCCAAACATCTTCCACTTACGGATGATGGAGGCCGCTGTGCTCATTGGAACTTTAAGAGCAGCAGACATTTCTCTGTAACCTTCCCCAGCCTTGTGCCTCCAGACAATCCTGTCTCGGAGGTCCCCCCCACCCCCAAGTCATGAAACATCATGGATTTTGATTAAAATATTTATTTATTTTGGTGTTTCCCCTTTTTTTTTGAGGCCTGTTCCCTCCAACTGAATAAAAAAAAGGTTATTTCGACTTTTTAATCTCAGAATTGCGTGATGCAAACTCACAATTAATTAATTATGTCAGAACATGTTTTTTGCGTACTTTTTGGTTTGTATTTCTTTCTGTAGACATCACACACACACACACACACACCCTGCCTTTTTGGCAAACATGTCCACAAGCTTCTCTTTCACTGGCTTTTTTTTTAAAGCGTCTTGCAGATCAAGTGCATCGGTCAGGAGGATTGTTGTTGAATCGTTTGTGTTGTGTGTTGATCCCCGCAGGAGCGTTTCAGATCGCACGGCAGATCAAGGCTCACGACGGCAGCGTCTTCACTCTGTGTCAGATGAGGAACGGCACTCTGCTCACCGGCGGCGGAAAAGACCACAAGATCATCCTGTGGGACCACGACCTGCACCCAGAGAGAGACATCGAGGTAATGAAAGTCTCATACTGGTGTTAGCATGTGCTAAACGGCATAATATAGAAATAACTGATTGGCTGATATTATTTACTGTCCTCATGTCAAAGATAAAATAAATCAGTTATTAGAAATTAGTCTATTGTTACTGTTATGATTAGAAATGTGTTTAACAAATCATTAAAGGGAAATAGTTGAAAAATAATGCAAATTTCACAGCAGGGCTAACAATTTTGTCGTTAACTCTACCAACTCTGCTGAAAAATCCAGCTTAAACCAGCCTAAGCTGGTTGGCTGGTGTTAGCTGGTCGACCAGGCTGGTTTTAGAGGGGTTTTGGCTATTTCCAGGCTGGTTTCCAGCCATTTCCAGCCTGGTCTTAGCTGGTCAGGCTGGGAGATGACCAGCTAAAACCAGCTTTACCAGCCTAGCCAGGCTGGGAGCCCAGCCAAAACCAGCTATGTCCAGCTTAAACCAGGCTGGTCAAGCCGGTTTTAGCTGGATTTAGCTGGTGATTTTCCAGCCTGACCAGCTAAGACCAGGCTGTAAAAGGGTGGAAACCAGCCTGGAAATGGCCAAAATCCCTCTAAAACCAGCCTGGTCGACCAGCTAAAACCAACCAACCAGCCTAGGCTGGTTTAAGCTGGATTTTTCAGCAGGGAAAAGAAAGTACAGTGTTATATAAGGCAGATAATTGAGTTAAATTCAGGTTCAGCGTCAGTGCCTAGTTATTTTCTTGTTTATTTATTGACTGTACAACAGTATGTACATGCGAAAGATGAATGTAAAATAAAGTGCTAGAGGGTTTGGTTGAGGGCCAGATCTGTAATTATGTACTTATGTTTTGTAATTACTATTGTGTTACTGAGTGCATGTTACTGCATGTACATTATATTCTACTTGTACAGTTCATTATATTAAATGTACACTCTAGTTAATGTAATTAGTAGGGATGTAACGGTATCAGAATTTCACGGTACGGTAATACCTCGGTATGAATGGCACGGTACGGTATTTATTGAATAATTTACAGGAAAAACACAACTAATGAAAAGACTCGAAAAAAGTGGCAAAAGTGTTTATTTACCTCAGCACTGAACATATCAATGACATACAAATTAACCATCTATCTGTAAGTTTCCAAACAGGAACTTAAATTTTTCAATTTTAATAACAAAAAACTATAAAACCATATAAAAAAAATAAAGTTTTAATTTAGTATTGTTGAAAACTCATCACATTCAACATTTAATCACTCACTCACTTAGATAGAGATGGGTTTTTTAAGGAAAATGATCATATAACTATAATCTGGTAAAAGCTGGGATCTCTGGGCATGTCCCCTGCAACAGAAATAAACCCCTTTCATTTGGGACTGAGGTTTCTGGGACAGAGAGATATGATTTAGCCAAGGTTGACAGCAGTGGGTAACGTTGTGCATTGTCTTTCCACCACTTGAGAGGACAAGCCATGAGTGAGATAGAGGTCTCTTTGCGGTACAAGTCAATGTCTGCATCAATCTAACAAGTGTGCTGTGTTCTGCAGTCCCCATGACTGTTTTAGTCGTATTCCCTGACTTACATTTCACCACAGTCTGGCAGTGCCTGCTTACTGTTTTTTTCTTTGTCTGTCACCTTTTCTCCTTTTTCGTATCTTTTTAGAAAGAAACCGAAATGCTTCCACACATCCGATTTAAAACCCGCTTTAGGTTCGATCATTTCCTCTTTTTCTTCCCCGCTACTAGCAGCACACTCCATTTCCGCATTACTGGATCTGTAGTGACAACCGACCGCAAAGGATGATGGCCACGCCTGGGCTGATGGGAATTGTAGTTCCCGCTACCTCCCGTACGCTTCATTCGCCTGAGTAAACTTTTCTCAGAAATATAGTTTTATTGAGTCATGCGCCTACGCTAATATTGAAAAAAATTACTATTGCGGTATGACGGTATTTACAATATTGTTACATCCCGAGTAATTAGCTGTACTATGGAGATAATAGCATGTAAACATCTTAGCAATGTTCAAAACATGTACAGTGATCCCATATTAATCGCGGGAGTTTTAAAAATAACCCGCAATAGGGGAAATCCGCGATGTAGTCGGCTTTATTACAGTTTTTATAGATGTTTTAAGGCTGTAAAACCCCTCACTACACATTTTATACACTTTTCTCAGACAGGCATTTACATTTTCACAGTTTTCTCTCTTGTTTAAACACTCTCAAAGCTCAAACCTTCATAGAAAAATAAGTCCAGTATTATAGAAACCAAAGATCATCAGGCACTCTGTGATATGAACAGTGTCTTGAGTCGTAGCTGGGCACCGCAGACAGCCACCGTGTCATAACAGTCTGGTGAAAAGGGTCTATACTGAAATAAAAGTCTGCAGCATTATCTGGTTTGCACAGACTTGATAGTTTCATCTAATTAATGACTGTTTTAGCTTTAAAAGTGCAGTTTAAGAAAATATAATGTTATAAAGTACAGGTCCAAATAATGTGCGTTTGCCTTCCTTCAGGTCCCGGATCAGTATGGCACCATTCGTGCGGTGGCCGAAGGCAAAGGCGATCAGTTTCTGGTGGGAACGTCACGCAACTTCATCCTGAGAGGAACCTTCAATGACGGATTCCAGGTGGAAGTGCAGGTATAACACATCTTTAACAGTGTGAGAGGCTTTAGAGAACGTCAAAACTTTCTGTCACAAAATAATGCGTCACACTTTACAATAAGCTTCATTAGGTAATGTTAATTAATGCATTTACTAACATGAACAAACAGTGAACAATACATTTACTATAGTATTTGTTCATATTAGTCAATGTTAGTTAATGAAAATGCAGTAGTTCATTGTTAGTTCATGTTAACTCATGGTGCATTTGCTAATGGGTAACATTTTATAATAACTACACACTATAAATAATTTATTAAGCATTAGCATCTAGTGAATTCCTTATTTATTAAGCATTAACTCTACATTAATAAGCGTTAGTAAGCAGTTTATAACTGCAGCTACAAATGCTCTATTCTTGACTTACAAACATATTTAAAATGTGCTTAATAATTGTACTTTCATACTTTGTTAATGATTTATTTTTTATTACTAAATGAAGCATTGCATTATTTACAAACCATTTGTATTTAAGAGTAGTTGAGGGTTTTAGGATCATTCAGAATGAGTTAATAAATGATTAATAAACTATTGAAATCAACGTTTATATGTCTTATTATTCAGGCTATGCATGTTAATAAATGCTTTATTAACTCAACTTCATGCAGTTTTGTGACCTAATCTAAAGTGAGGACTATTCATGCTTTATAAATCCCTTATAAATGACAAATAAAGGCTCAGTTAAATTATAAACAAAAAGAATGACTTTATTCATTCCTATTCATTTATTCGTCCTTCATAATGTCCTATTCATTCATTTCAAATAAAAAATAAATCTTTGCAACCCGATCTAAAATATAATCAGTGTAGAGTTTAAACATTGCATCTTATTATATTGTTAAATTATTATATTGTTTTATCCAGTTTTATGTCGTATTTTGACACTCCTGTTATTCAGCAATGTTTAAACTTTATCAAAATTGTTCTTTTTAGAAAAGACTGCAAAGATTATTGTTCATTTGATTCTGAGCCTTTAATAGTCATTTATAAGGGATTATAAAGCTGCAAAGATTATTGTTCATTTGATTCTGAGCCTTTAATAGTCATTTATAAGGGATTTATAAAGCATGAATAGTCCTCACTTTAGATTAGGTCACAAATATGAAGTTGAGTTAATAAAGCATTTATTAACATATTAGTTAACTATTAATATATGCCTGAATAATAAGATATATAAATGTTGATTTCAATAGTTTATTAATCATTTACTAACTCATTCTGAATCATCCTAAAACCCTCAACTACAACTGGTTTGTAAATAATGTGATACTTAATTTAGTAATGAAAAATAAATCATTAACTAAGTATGAAAATACAATTATTTAACACATTATACAGGTGCTTATAAGTCAAGAATAGAGCATTTGTAGCTTATTAACGCTTATTAATGTAGAGTTAATGCTTAACAGATAATGAATTCACTATTTGCTAATGCTTAATTAATGATATATAGTGTGTAGTTATTATAAAGTGTTACCAACTAAGGTAAACAAGCATGGACTTGGATGTTTAAAATGCATTAGTAAATGTTCAATTATGATTAATAAATGCTGTACAAGTGTTGTTCATGATTAGTTCATGTTAGTAAATGCATTAACTAATGAACCTTATTGTAAAGTGTTACCAAATAATGCATAGAAAACCAATCGATCTTAATCTTAAAGTGCACATGAACTTAAAAACTATTTAATCAACCATGTTGATTTTGTTAGCTCACATTGGTAGTTTAGTGTTGGTCAAGTCATCCGTGCATGTCGTTAAGAAAAAATGCCCTTTTGATCTAAAATAGAAATCTGAAAATGCACTTGCACCTGTTTGTTTTCTGTTCAATTCTCAGATTAGGTCAGTCTGAGTTATTGGGTTTGGCTAACATACTGAACCACACCCTTAAAACTGTCGGTTTTGACAACACACAGAAGTGGTGAGCAGGAGGAATCTGTTAGGCTGTAATAACTCTCCTCAAACTCTTTTACCCATCTTACTGAATGAAATGCCTACTTTACATCCAATCAGCTCGCAGTATAAACAAGCCACGCCCACTATTTTCTCATTTAATCTTCCGTCTCTCTAGGATCTACGTCACAATATATTTATATATATATATATATATATATATATATATATATATATATATATATATATATATATATATATATATATATATATATATATATATATATATATATATATATATATATATATCTGTATTTTGCTGCTCATCGACATAGATACACATATATGAAAGCTGCTAGATGCCGACATGGAGGAAGGTAATTAGATATATAGATTCTGCGTCCAGAACATACCACCTTAAACACATCAAATCAGACCATTAAAGCTCTGAAATGCTGAAGCACACTTATTTAAGTGTTTCACGTTCCATATTCTAATTCTATATTTAATTTGATATAATATTATATATAATTTAAATAGGATTTCCACAAGTGGAATATTCAGCAATCTTTTTATAATATAAACTTTTTATGGATTTATTTATTCGCAAATAACGCGGATAAAAATCAAATACAGAGCATTAACATAAAAACTAAACAGTAGAAAATAAACTAAAATTACATAATTAACTTCATTTAAACAATCCAGGCTCATTATGGATACAAACCCCTGCCTACTCTTCTGCACAGTGCGAAATACGTCCGGGCGGTAATTTTTTCTTGCAGTTTTTGTTTTCACGAATCCACCAGAGGCCGCTGTGTTCGCTTTTTCAGATCTCAAATTTCTCCCACAAGTGCCATTCACACCTGCTGTTCTCGCATAAATCCACCAGAGGCCGCTGTTGACTGACTTACTGACCGATCGGCTGATCCACCCTCCTCCTTCTTTAACCCCAACCGACAGTGTTTTCAAAAGCATCGATTAGCCCGCCCACCGCATTACCAAAGCCCAATTGACCTGCCCACTGCCTTCCCTAAACCTAACTGACAGTGTTTTCAAAAAAATTGATTGGCCCACCCACCGCTTTTCCTAAACCCAACCA